TATGTTACAGTTACGTGACCAGAGCTAACTTTCTGTGTTACAGTTACGTGACCGAAGCTAACTTTTTATGTTACAGTTACGTGACCAGAGCTAACTTTCTCTGTTACAGTTACGTGACCACAGCCTTTTGAGAACACGTGCGCATTGTTGCAGTCTGGGATAAGCCCATATGGTGAGTAAACGAAATATTTAACAATTCAAATGAGACTGCAAGATAAGTAGACTGGCCTTAAATTATGCTTTGATTTTATTTATAAATTCCTTATATACTGATCATAACTATTTAAAATTACTAACAGTAAAAATTGTATTGAAATTAGGGATGATAATATTATGATGCATCTTATGAAAGTAGGTTTCGACTTTAGGGAAAAGTGGGTGGAACTAGCTCATTTTCGTGTCCAAATTGCGGACTTTGAGATTGTCGGCGTTAAACCTCCTGGTTTTACGACCAGAGAATTTGCAATGCTAATAATTATGATAGTCATCAAGATGTAATTACTAATACTCAGCTTACTGAATCAATTGAATCACGTTATAAGGAGGCACCCTACACACTAAAGCTGCACGCACGCACGCACGCACACACACACACACACACATATATATATATATATGTTACATTTAGAGAAGCTACAGCTTTTGTCACAGAGATGTGGACACTATATAAAGAACACATATGGGTATATGGATATGTGATCGCATTTACGGCAGCCCTTAAAATGGGTAAATAAAAGTATCAATAATTCGTTACTTATTTTTACCCATTAATGAGACTACCGTAAACCTTTCATTGGCTGCGTGTTTATTGCCATGTTATCATATTTCGTCCATATTCCCTGAACAGTAGTACACGTTGCTGTCTGAAAATCGTCGTCATTAGATACAGCCTACATCTTACGTTGTTTCAGTGTGTCGCCCTCCTGTCGAACGAAACACCAGTTAAATTGACCAAAACTCAAAAGTTAGAAATCGTTAACATTAATATTTATTGTAATATTCTCTAAAGAAAACAACCGCCTCTGTGGTCTAGTTGTCAGAGTTCCTGGCTATAGATCTAGAGGTCCCGGGTTCGATTCCGGGCGCTACCAGATTTTCTGAGAACTAGTGGGTCTGGAAGGGGTCCACTCAGCCTCATGAGGATAATTGAGAAGCTACTTGAATGGTAAAATAGCTGCTCCAGTCTAGAAAGCCGAGATTAACGGCCATGGGGAACTGTTGCGCTGGCCACATGACACCCTCTATCCGGAAAAATTGGCACTAACTCGTTTGGTATAGATCGCTTGCGGACTACAGACCACGGAGTTTTTTATACGTTTAAATTCAAAGTAGATAATCAACTGGTTATTTTCTATAAAGGATGCACACTGTAGCGTACTTGTCACATGAGGGTACCTGTTGTAGTTCTGCTGTCGGTGTTTTATGTTTGTTGCGTCTGGCGTTCTTGACGGCGAATAAAGAGAGCCCTGTGGGAATTGAGCGGTTAGTTCCCGTCGTCAGTTATATTTGTCGGTGCAGTATGTCATCACTGGATCATGTTTTTTGGTTGTGGTGTTCGTGGTTATTCGCTTAGTGGGGGGTGGAGTCCAACTGGGTCCACTCGGCACGGCGGCCACTGATTGGCCTATTGTAGCCTGCCCCGGGTGATTTTATGATGACGGAGAATTTGGTGGAATGAAGATTGGCAGGGGAAACCGAAGTACTAGGAGAAAACCCTCCCCAGCGCCACTTCGTCCACCACAAATCCCACTTGACCAGACCCGGGATCGAACTCGGGCCACCGCGGTGGGAAGCCAGCGACTAACCGCTTTAGCTATGGCGCGGTCCGTGTTCGTGGTTATGGACAGAGTAAATAAGTAATTAATCAATGAAACAGGATGCTCAGATATACTCGTATATCTGGTGTCAGTAATTAAAACAATCTTCGTGTGACACTGAATCCTTGACACTTGCAGTGGAGTCAGACGTCTGCCTACGGCCACAGTTAAGTGGACATACGTACTCAATTGTTTCGTCAACCGTCGCGTGGTCAGCTGTGTTTAACGGAGCTGCCAAACATAAATATCAATTTCTAGTAACGTAACACTGAGAAACTAAGAACTCAGACTGGCTAATGACTTGTTATTTCCATTTATAGATTCTACAAAACCTGCATTTATATCAAAAACTTTGTTGTTTTAGTCCGCAAGCGAACTATACCGACCGAGCGACCGCCGCTTGTCAGAGAAGTAAGTGCCAACTTTAGCGGATAGAGGGTGTCGCGTGGTCAGCGCAATTAATCACCACTGCCGTTAATTTCGATTTTCTAGACCTGAGCCGCTATTTCCTTAAAATAAATACTTAATTATCCTCACGAGGCTGAGTGGACCCCGTTCCAGACCCACTACTTCTCAGAAAATCTGGCAGCGTCGGGAATCGAAACCGTAACCTCTGGATCTGTAGCCAGGAAATCTGACCCCTAGACCACAGAGGCGGTCTTTTTATACATAATTAATTTATTTTTATAAATCTGTCATCTTGCATGTACCTATAAATATTACAGAAATACATATACACGCGCATGCGCACAAGGACGTTTTTATAGTGGGATCTGTGTTCCGGAGGTACTAAGTTCATTGTTATACTACGATACTACGAGTTAGATTCGATGGTTTTATGGGTTTTTCTCAGTCTGTCTAAGCCATGCCTTGAAACGGCAGTACCTCCTCTTGTCAAATCCATTCCTACTCACGGTTCATACTCACCTGTCCATATTATTTCAGGATAATTACGTCTACAGTTCAAACGGAGTCTGTAAATAACCTAAGAGCCACACACGAGTGCAGACAAATCCGCGTACAATAACTTTACTTTAGTTATGAGTTTAGTGCGAGACTGAGTTGGTCGTGCTATACCTCAGGCGGTCAGTCACAAGTTTCCTGCCGTGGCGGCCCGAGATCTATCCCGTATCAGGTCATGTGGGATTTGTTTTGGAAAAAGTAGTCCTGGGACTGGTTTCCTCCAATCACCTCGGTTTCCCCAGCCACTTCTCATTCAGCAACCTGCTGCACATTCATTATTCATCCTAACATTGACACGAAATCGTCGGGAAGGGTTCAGTAACCAATTTGAAAAATAAGAAAGACTTGAGTGTGTATGTATTGTGGCCTGAACTGTTTCATTGTACACGCTCCGGATGATAAATGAGTATAGAGTGTAGGTGCAACGACAGTATTCATGGAAAAACGGAAGTACTCAGAGAAATGCTACCCCAGTATCACTTTTTACATCACAAACACTACATAGAAACTCCAGGGATTGAACCCTGCCCCCCGTGATGAGAAGCCAGCAAATAATCTGTTTATCTATGGCAGGTCTGTATGCACGCATGCTCTCATGGGTACATACCTACGTACTTTTTTTTTATTGCTAGTGGGGTGGGACTAAGTCCCTTGTACTGCGGCCTCTTCTGGCCTATTGTACCAGCCCCAGATGATAGGTGAGGGTGATTGTGGAGCAATCGGTGGAATGAAGATTGGCAGGAGAAGCCCAAGTACTTGGAGAAAACCTGCCCCAGCGCCACTTTATCCACCACAAATCCACTCGACCAGACCCCGGGATGGAACCCGGGCCGCCACGGTGGGAAGCCAGCGATTAACCGCTATGGCGCGGCCCACATACATACATACATACATACATACTTACGTGGGTAATGGAAAATTCTGCCTAATTATCCGAAACTTACTCAGTGCCTATATTTACACAACAAGGACCTTAGAAATTACACAGCTGTTTGTTATTGGAATAAGTTGAATGGATTTTCATTTCTTAAACGTAAAAGAGTAAAATAGAAACATTTTTCTTTTGAGGTACTTGAATTTTCCACAAGTCTGTGAACAGAATTTCGGGCAATTAATAACTGTCGGAAATATCACACACATCTATAACGAAGTTTGGATTAATATCATTAAACTGTAATTTTCGGTAATCGTTGGAAGTACGGCAGTGGAGACATCTGTTGTTAGATCCAAATGAAGCTGTAATTGGAACTGCTTGCAGATGTTACCTTAACACCTTGAAGGAGGCAGGACGCATTTTAAAGCCAGAATTTGTCAAGTCCTGTCTAGAAGAAAACCGCTCCATATTTTCGAGATACGTGGTATTGAAGTCCAGACGGAATTACTTTGTTCGGTTAGAGTGTGACATGGATTAATATCGGCCGAGATGAAATATTTCTTATTTTATACAGAATATGATCATCTTAGAGAAAATTAATAATGAAGAGTGACTGGTGAATGTTAAAGTCGAATGTCGAGAGTCAGCGATAGAATATATAAATCAACTGGGCTGCTTTTTTAGATAAAATAACACATAAATCTTTATAAACCAGGTACTAGAAACCGAACCTATAAGCAAACATAACATTATGTAAGTTTTGAGGTTTTCACGGCGATGACTATGAAGAAAGTCGTCTTCTGGGATCTGGCGCTGTGTATTCTTAGTTTTAACCGACGTTTCGTAGCTGCAGCTACTGCTCTCTCTGTATTCGCATCGCGATTCACCTGCCCTGAAGATGGAGGCGATACGTTCCTCCGAAACGTCGGTTAAAACCAAGAATACATGGCGCCATATCCCAGAAGACGACTTTCTTCAAACATAACATAATGCTTTCGTTCTTATTGACACTAGAATAAAGTCAGGTTGTGTGGGTTCCTTGCCGTAAGATGAATCAGATAAGGCAGGATTTGCCTTGTACGTGTCCGTAAACCTACTGCCTGCATAAAATGACTAGATTGACGGAATGCCTTATCGCTATTCCTTTGTTTCACGCCTTGTTCCTTGTCACCGCCTCTGTCACGGCCCTAGAAGGGAAATAAAACTGGGGAAGTCCCGTTCTTCGATATCTGGCAAGATCTCTAGGGAAATATAGACTTAATGTGATTCAGAGTGTCTCAAGGGAATCGAACTCACATTATTTTACGTAGAATAGGATACTACTTCCAGCTATAAGGAGTGGGTTAAATCTGAAAACAAGAAGCCAGCGGATAGATTCGTAAAATTATTTTCAGTTTCACAAGGTACACCTGTCTACGATATACAAAACCCTTGTCATATAAAAGACCAGAATTCGCTAGTTTGTTTAAATGGAGTGTGCGCAGAAATGTGACGTTTCGTGGAACTTTAGTTGCGCTG